CTCACCGGGGGGGATTTAAAATAGCAACTTTTTTTAAAGTCGAAAAAGTAATTTTTAAATTTGAGTTAGCTTAAATAGCCAATTTTTTAGATTCGATACGAATTTTTTATATGTAAATACTAACTTTTAATAATATTAAAACTTAGAAGTGATAGAAAAAGTCTAACTGCAGATTTGAAAACATCGCGAAAAGTTGATTTAGAATGGTATATTTTTGTTACTGATGAAAGTTCCTTGTAATTCAGTGCATTTATTTATAGTAACAAACAGTTTTTATTGAAATTTATTGTATCAAGCCCTTTAAATTTTTATACACGTAAAAATAAAGCAAAGTACAACTTCTTTATTATTTTTATAATTTCTCCGTTTAAATTACAATATTAAATTATTGAATATCAATTTCATACTAAATTGAATAATTATAATTAGTATTTCTTCATATATTATATTTTAAAATCAAAGAACTACTAATCAGGATATAATTAAAGAAATAAGAGTTGATGTTGCTTTTGGAATAATCCACCAATTTCTCTAAATGAAACACTATCTACAGATTTGCATCGAAGCGTTTCTTATGATAGTGATTTTAATCACTNCTATCTACAGATTTGTATCGAAGCGTTTCTTATGATAGTGATTTTAATCACTATCAGATATCATCTATACTTGTCCCATCTATGCCTCATACACACTGTGCTACCGTTTTTTTTTTAATTGTAAATACGAATAATAATACAGAAGGTAATTATTTTAACATTTATGAGTTTGATGAATTACTCATTAAATTCAATCTCCTATACCTTATAATGGTATCAATATAATTTTTTTAAATAACAACATTCATATTTGACTAGCTTATAAAATAAAAAATAATCTAATTTAAAAAAAGATTGATCGAAAACTACTTTTGACACATTAGTTTGGAAGTCATTACCAATGTAAAATATAGACTTAAAGTGAGGTGTGAGTATGAAAATATTTATAATTAGACATTCTGACCGCACCTCTCTTCCCATAAAGGTATACAAATTTTAATAACTTTTGAAGTACTGGCTCAAAAGTTATTGTATTAATTAGATCATTCTTTATTTTATGAGCTAATTAAATATGTATGTTGACATTTCAGAAAAAAACGTTGGCATCCTCATAAGGAATAATTTAAGGAAAATTTTAAAATACTTATTTTTAACACAAAATAATAACGAGTACAACGAACTCAACTAATCGTCGTGAGCTTAATCCTAATAATAATGTTAAGCCAATAGTTTAAAAAATATTACTAGAATAGGGTCAATAAAATTTATCCCGTTAAGGAATCCTGAGCATTGATAAAATCACTATTTGGTAACTACAATACTTTTAATCTTAAATATTCATTGAATTACATTTATTGAAATTAATTCATCAAATTAATAAATTTAACAAAACTTAAAATATTCAATTACACAATATATAGATTTCAATTACACACTTTGTATTTAACTTCGATTCGTCTTACATTGTGTTGTTAATGTTAAAATTTAACGAGAATAATATTACGACGAATTCATATTGGAATTTATGATTTATAAAAATGTTTTTTTTTCTAATGTACAATCTACAGTTGGGTAAAAATCTAACATTAATAATACATCAAAACGTAAAAGAAATCTAATACTGAAAAATTTATTTTCGATATTAGCGTTTCATTACTTTTCGTAAACACTTACAATTCGATTATTTATCCATTTTTTAATTGAAATAAAATTTATCAAAAACATATTCTATTGTATAAATAATACTATAGTTAAAATAATTACACGAATTTCATAAAAATATTTATTATAAATAAAGATTTTAGTACTTTGACACTAAGAAATCTACAATAGTTTTATCAAACATAATGTCGGGAAAACAAGTATAACATTTTTTTTTTTTTTAATAAAATCATTTCACTTACATATTAAACTGGAAACATAATATAAAGTAGATTTTCTAATATTAAATAATGAAAATAAACAAACTGTATTAAAAAACAAATTATAGTTCTATATAATAACAGCTTCATGTGTTGTGCAGCATCAAAAAGTGCAAACTTTTTGATTTTCAAGAAGAGTCAAAAATCACAGGGGATCACATCAAATAATAAATTGAATATGACTGTATTATATTATGGAACAATGGCATATTATAATAAATTTACAAATAAGCTCTATTGTTATAAAACAAAAACATATGATAAAACTTTTGTCATTTCATTTATTAGTATTATTTTACCAACAAAATTAAACAAATATTCTTAATTAAGAACATTTGCACGAACAATAAGTATAGTACTATGCTAATAGTAAGTAAAAATATGTTAATACTATTGTCAAGTGCCTTTTCTTTTATTGTGCCTGTTAACAATGTATAAGAAAAATATAGAAATTAATGATATTACTTATTTTTAATTAATTAAATAATACATTCAATGATATACGTATATAAATATGTCAGAATATGTGAAAGTTATTGATACTTTTTAAATACATATGAATATACTAACACATTCAAAACAACTACAGAAATAGTAAATGAAAAATTGAAGATCCAATACTATGGAGAAAAAATGATCATAGTTCACGTAAATCTGATATAATAACACAAAACTGATAAAATTTACTTTTATTCTGTTAGATTATTACGATGCCAAATGTTTGAAATATGATAAAAAAAATAATAAAAGGAAGACTTTATTAGGAAAATTAAAACTTTGTCATTGTTTTGTGTTTTAATATATCTGTCCATGATGTATCAGGGCTAGTCTAATATTATTTTAAAAATCTAAGGATATTTAAGTCTTTTTGATGGATATTTTTTCAAAAAATTCCTGTCCTTACAATATATACGATGTTTCACTTATAAAATAGGTACAAAATATGTTATCTTTTCTACAATTTATTTCGTACAAAGATTTTTCTAGAATTAGTTAATGTCACATAATAATAACATATAAAACTTATTTTATAATACAAAATATGTGATGCTTTTCAATCCCCTTGGATTATGGTATCATCGACATGAACACACTAATATATAATTTCAATATTACATTAGTACATTCATAAACACAAAATAAAACATATTCATTCTCTTTATGCTTTACAAAATATTTGATAAAACCATATACAGAGTGATCATTTAATAATAAGACACTCATTTAATAATAATATTCTTGAAAACTAATGAAAATTATTAATTTTCATAAAGGCAAATTTGTTTGATTTGAAACTACAGTTTTAAATAATTTTTTTCCTATTCCTTTAGAATTAGAAACCTATACTTTAATTTTATTTAGTGGTAACCCCTAATTTTAGTTATTTATATTGTAGAAATTTAATTGTTAAATAATGTTGTTTTTTTATTCAATGGATTGTTCATCTATCACTTGTTATAAAAGTTTTACAATTTTTGACCATTTCTATTGATAACTTGTTATTTAGTATACAGTAGTAGTCATTTCTTCTTTTGTCACATAAACAAGTTTTTATTGACAATTCTTATTATCATTTCTATTACTTACGATGGCAAGAATAATTAATGATAATGTATTGCCCATTGAAATAGATTATTATTGCTTATGTGATATATTATTCTTATCATTACACATCACTCTGCCTCGCTTCTACTCCTAACGAAGTATGAAAATGTTCATAACTTTCGAAATGCTAATTCAAAAGTTGTTATCGGCTAGTCATTTTATTAGTTGCATAATTTTCTAACGTTTAATCTATTAAAACATATACGTTACCATTAAAAAAAATAAAGTTGGTACACTTATAATAAATTAGGAAGAGACCTAATAAAATCCATTTGTAAATCGAGAAATAAATACTGCTTAAATAAGCAAAAAAATAATTTCTCAAAATTATTATTATTTTAAGAGATATTTAGTGGTCAACGAAAAATCAATCACTTTTTATATAATATTTAGAGTACAGTATAAATAAATTCAATTTAATTTACTGGTAAATCATTTAATTACATAATTTTTTTAAAATCTAAAATATTACAATTTCTTCTTAGTATTAAAAAAAATATATATTCAGTAATTAAAATCATATATTTTTCCAAACAATTTATGTTAGAAACAAAAATACTAATTATTTTATTTTAAATAATACTTGCCCCTGATATATCTGTATTAAGTTAATCAGATGATGATAAAAAATTCTTAAGGAAACTTACGACTTATGGATGAATGAAATTTAGAGATACTTTTTATGTAGACTCAAATTGAAATACTTCAATTACATTTTATGAATTTTATAACTCTAAAAGTATAAAGTTTTTGTAAACGAAGAAAACTATCGCACCTAAATTCTGCATATGTAAATGATGATCCATAATAAGTATGCATTTTAACAAAAGATATGTTTTTAAATTTACATGCTCTAGGCTTGCACTGTAAAAAATAAAAATATATGTTTAACCAATTGTAATGATTAGAAATAATTTAAAGATCTCAAAACTATTGTTTAGTACATTAAACTTTATTGTACTTGTCAATGATTAAGAAGAAAAATAAATGAAAATCTTAAGATTTTTGTCGAAGACTTCTAACCAAACAAAATATATTTGAATAAGATAAACTGATTAAACTTATTGTATTAAATAATTTTGAATGTATTTGAACGCTAGATTTACTCACTTAGTTGTTCATATTTAAATCGAAGAGCGCAACTTAGAAGAGGTTTAAAAAGGCCTTAGATTCACATTATATTGTGGTTCCCTCCCTTAAAAAAGTTATGAAAATTTTATGTTAATTTATAAAGAAATTTTTGTAAGTATGGTATAAATTAAGTTAGACCCGCCAAACATTTTGTTCACATTGCGCCTATGCCTTACATAATAATTATGTGTTCTTTAATGTTGTATAATGGATATGTTCTACATGCGTAAAGTTGATTATAGTTATACAAAACATTTGTTACTGAAATAACGAAACATGAATAAAATGTTTTTCAATATATTTACAGCGCTCAAGAAGTATGAAGTATCGAATTGCTGTATTCATGTTTGTAACCGCTAGTTCTTTAGCAATGGTCTCCGCTTTTATAGACAATACTAAGAGTCAAAGGTATTGGGACGACTACTTCAAACCAGAAGAAGCCGTCCATATTCCTAATAACCACATTAAATCATACATTTATAAAGGAGGTAACCGACATTTTGTTACTCCTGTTTTTCCAGGTATGTTCAAATAATTTGTTTACAATTATTCTTTTATTAAACAATTCATGCTAATTAAATCATATACAGAGTGTCCCACGATATTCTGACATAAACACATACTTAACTTATGGCAAATTGTCAGAACACAGTGGATACTCCGTATAACACAAAATTCATCAGAGTACTTGCATCTATAGTAAAACGTTCAAGTAAATTAAAATTAAACTCTACAGTGTTTATTAAAGTAAAAAAAATAAGGGCCACATTTGTCCCAGTAAAAAAGCAAGTACGATACTACAAATTAAACAATTTTATTAAATATTTATTTAATTATTGAAGTAGGAGATCTTATTTTATACGATGATATAATTTATTTAACACAAATGTCAAATAAATTAAAAAATTAATCTATAAATTTTTGACATTTTTATCGTCTCTGTCATTTATTTAAAATTTATGTTTCATTAACTTATTAGCATTTTTTTTTTTTGGTTAGGTCATTTATCAAAAATTAACCGATGAATTCTCAAATAGTTCAAGTAATAATATCCTTAATCAATATGATTTACACAATTGTTATCATAATTATTCTCGTACGCAAATTTACTGGAACAAGTGTGAAACTACATTTAAATAAATTATAATATTATTTCACATTATTTAATTGTTAAAATTTTAATATAGAAGATAATAAGTGTGGTTAATCGCTTAGTTGAATCAATCGCAAACGGATAAAATTTTTACAAGCAAGATAACTGATTACGTCACGCAATACTTAATAACTTTATACTTACAAGTCTACAAGCACAAAATTTTAACAATTGAATGAGCACAGCATAACGTTTCGCTGAAATTTCAATACTAAATAATCATAAATGTTATTACGTCCAAATATGCAGCAGTCACAATTACCCAATCTAACCTTAATTTGATATATTCGTTTTTCTTTAATACTTGTTAAACGTGTTATTAAAAAAATATATATTTTTCAATGAAATTTATATTAATTTTAAGCTAAAAAAATATTTTACTCAAAGAGCCACAAAAATAACTAAAAATTCGCGTATACGTGGTTCGAGAACAATTTTACCATTATCAAAGCTAAACACGTACTGACTTTCTGACTGAAAACAATTAACTTATATTCCCCTAGTGACCTTATCAGCTAGTAACGCAATAAGTAATATTAGTAACATTTAGTAACATTTTGCCAGTTTACTCAAGTTTAATAAGATCCCAAATAATTGAATTATTCTTATTTTTAAACATATCTATTTCCTCCCTTATTTTAGGTTCTTTGTAATTATTTACTTTTTTAAATGATTTTAATCACATGTTCAATCACAGGAGATTTATCAACTTTTTTATTTTTTATGTTTCTTAAGAGTTCTTTAATCCTGACCTCTCTGTTCTTTTACTACGTAACATTTATTACAGTTTTCAAATTGTATTTTATAAATACCCCATTTTCCCTCTTATTCAAATAAATCTAAAGGGTAATCTAATAAATCTCTTAAATCATTACTCTTAGACGTTATTAAAGTATTACCAAAATTCCTGAAAATTCTTGCTAGCCCATTCGAAATGCTTGGATAATATAAAATTACATTTTATTCTCCCATGCTAGTGAATGTACTAGAGCTACCCTCATTTCTTTGTTCCATTTTCGTGTTCAAACTAATTTTAAAATATCATTTTCGTCATATCCATTAAATCTAGCTATTTCTCTTATAACCCCCAGTTCTTTATCAATATCTGTTTTGTTTGTCGGAATATTAACATAATAAAATCAGTTTTTATTTTTTAGGTCCTGTATAAGTCGTAAATATTTTTCATTTATTCCTAAAGCCCCTTTACTTACAACAGAATTTTTTTGTAAAAAATGTATTTATTTTACAATTCACATCCATTCAATAGACATTTCAATACCTACTTAAAGATCTTCCATCGGAAATTTTTTCGTTAAAATCTTGTTAGAAAATTCAAGTTCATTCTTATAAAATTTCATCTAATTTTTTTACTATACAGCGATCAGTTCCAAGAACAATAATATTTAAAGAAGCATTTTTGGATATAGAAAACAAGAATTAATATCATTATATCATAAATAATATTATTATATAATAAAATAAGAAAATATTTGTTAACGCTAGAAAAATTATTAGCGATGATCAGAAAAATTCTTTTAACTCTTTAAAGTCATTTAAAAATTTCAGATATTATAAAGAAAAACGCTTTATGTACGTTTTATTTATGTGTATTGCAATTTCTTGATTAAATTATGTAACTTTAACAGAAAACACAAATAACACGATAATTATATATAGTATTTTAATAACTATAAAATTTTAATTTGTATACCTATTGTGCTAAATAATAATTAGTTAGTTATTATTTTATACAATGATTGTGAATATACATTTGTATTTAGATATTTTTTATTGGTATTATTTATATTAAATAATTCTTATTGATACTTAATTTACTATTTCAATTGATTCATACTATTTAAGGTGTGAATAAAAATAAGTTTATATGTTTTTGAAATAATTTGTATTAGTTTAAAGTTATGATACTACAACGTTTTTTACTTCATTATTTAAAGTTTAATCAGCTCGTCGTAGTTTGATGTAAATTTGAAATTCTGGAACCCATATAAACTATTAACAATGATTACAAATATGAAAATGTTACATTCATTTATTTTTTGAACATCTAATTATTAGATGTTAATGAAAATTTATATTGATGTATTATATCAAATTTAAATTAACTTTATATACTTTTACTTTATTTATAACTTCATAACACAGTTTTGTTAATATCGTTGACACCACAGTTATTGTTAAAATTAGAATATTATTAAATTATTGTAATGACTTCAATCGACAAATATCAATCTTACAACCAATACATTTTAGTATTTACTCTTTTTGAATTTTACTCATTTTAAAAATATATAGTTAATGTATTTTTGTTATACTGATTCTGAAGTAATACTTTCATGGAAAACTCTCGATTTACCGATGAAGTCGGTATTATTAAAAAATAATAAATAAAATACATATTTGTATGATTATATTATTATAAATTAATTAATTATGCACATTTTTTTTCTTGGTAGCCATAATCATCCTTTAATATGGTAATTAGGTAATCTAACCATTATATTTTTCACAAAAATTTATTCTATAGTGATTCCACAACCTTTATTTTTTTAATGGACAATCACTTTTTTAACGAAATTAAAAAATAACTATCTTTTTAGATACACCCAATTATTTTAAATAACAATGAAATCTTGCAATTTAAAATCAAATATTACATTTTTATAACATGAATTATAAAGTAAAAATTTCCTTTAGAAATGGATGCCAGAGGTTTTCATGAATACTTGTTTGATGGCTTACAACCAGATTTACAATGGCCACCAATAAAATTTAAAAGAAATTTTTACCCACAAGGAATAACTGCAAGAGGATTCAGCGATGATATTTTACATCAAAGTTTTGGATTATTCGAACCACTTAAAAGGTACTGACAATAATTATGCTTTATTATTTTACCCAAATATTTTCAATTATTGAAATACACGTAAAAATAATGTAAATGATAATATTCAATTGTATATTTTTGTTAGTTTTAAGCTTTCCCAGTATAAATTTTATTTTAAATATATTGTATGACGCTAAAAAATTGTTTAAATAACAAGCTATAATGAAATATAATATAATTTTTCAGAAATTATTTTGCGAACAGCAAATATTTGATAGTAGAATTTCTATAATTATGGGGAAAAGCCTATCCCTCAAATTACCACAGTAAACATAACAGCTATGATTAATTATTAAATTATATGACAAACTATGTAATATTGAATTATACAAAATAATTGTAATAATTTTATAATGGATAGTTGAATTTATTCGTGTACTTTTTTTAATTTTTATGTTAAATTTCTCTAAATTTTTCTTTAATTTTTAACTATGAAAGCATACTGCTAATTATATTTTTTATTTTTATTTATAACTAATAAAATATTTTAATAAAAATTACATATACGTAATTAATAAAGAGTGATACGTTATAATATATCACTTTCTTATTTCAATTTTTTTTTAAATAAATGAAGGCTGTTCTGCTATTAGGTATTTTTTTTAGTTTTGAGATGCAGAATGTCGCTAAGCATAAAATTAAAAATCGTTAGCTCATTTATATGGTATTACAAACGCTAAAGTAATAATTAAATCATTTCCAATGTTGATGAATTTAATGTAATATTACAATGCCTAATTTGTCCACAAAAACTTTTGTAAATTTCAAATTTTAGATGGTCAAAATCTAATACTTGAATCACTTCAATCACCTTAAGCGAAAATTATTAACATAAATTATTCTCAGACATTCACAGTTAAATCAACTAAAAGATATCTAAAGCTGAAGTCAAGAATTATTCACGTCGTAATATTATATATAATATTCCAAAGTGGTTGCCATTTATATATAATAAACTTAACATTAATGTAAGCGTTGGGCAAAAGCATAAATTGTAGTCATATTCTACTATTCAACTCTGTAAATTCATAAATAACTTTAAAATATTATTTTAATAAATTGAAATTCGAACCTTTCCTTCAATTAATAACTATGTGATATATAAACTTTTATTTTAACTTTATATTCGTTAGTTATTACAACTTAGTTGGTTGCAAGTAAAACAACAAATGAACGACTACATATATAAAATGACATGAGAATTTAAAGACTTATTAATCTAACAAAAAAGTGTTTAAAATTACCCTTCATAATAATTATCATTATATAATAAGATAAAAATTGGAATATATTATTAATATATGATAAATACAAATGTAATACTAATAATAATAATTATTAATATATTTCATATCAATTTGAAATACTTAGTTTTATTAACTTTTTTCTAACTATGACAGTTTAATAAAAATATTAAAAATTATACAGACAATAGAGAATATCATATTAACAATAAAGAAATAGTATTTTTTTCTGTTAAGCAAATAAGTCTTATCATAAGGTCATAACACCATATCATTTTATGATTTGATTAATCAATCTAGTAAACATATTGAAATATTTATTTATTAATTACGTGGCAAATAGCAAAAATCGACTAGTAAGGTATTATTAATATATTTTATCTAATATCAATGCTATAAATGGGATCAATGATCATAATTTATAGTCCAAAAATAGATCAACAATCATACTGGAATTTTTTATTTTTAGATTAAAATGAATAAAAATTTTAATATTACTAATTATCACAATATTTATCAACCTACATTTCTATTCTATATTGTTTTTCATACACCGTACATATAAGTATAATTTAAATAAAAATCACGTTTTTATTAGTAAATTACTTAAGAAATGAATGACTAAGCAAATATTAAAAAAATTATTTATAAAAATAGTAATTCTTATTTTTATACAAAACACAATAGAAGGCATGTACTAAACCAATTACTAAAATAACTTACTTCTTTTTCCGCAATTATGACATTAACAATAATAGTTAGATTAAATAATTCAATTGTCACTCGAATCGTAATTTTGTTTTCTTCTTTGGACGAATCAGCTTACAGCTAGATAGTAAAAAGTAAAATTAAAGAAATATTTTTTTTAACATGAATCTTTTTGCAACGGAACGACATTTAAGCAGTTATTTTGATATCATTCAATACATTAAATAATGTCACAATTAAATAACACCTAAAAACATAATATTTATAAAATGTAAAGCAACATCTTAAAAAAAACAATTAAATACAAAATATTATTTTACTTTTCCTGATTTCTCCAAAATAGATACCTACTATAATAAAACTTTTAGAAATCTAAATTATATATATATTATGATATAGTAGAGTTAAAGGTGAGATATAATTCACTGAAATCAATACCTAGAAAAACTTAAAAAAAAATTATTCTAAAACAATATTTTAAAAATCTTAAAAAGAAAAATGTTTTGGGTTTATGCCTATTTTGGTCTAAGTATTTAATACGATAATTTATTTAAGACACTTTTTTAAATAATACAAACCTATTGACTTTTATTGCCTATTGACTACTCGTTTCAATTCGCAAATTTTAAGAATTCTCAAAATTTTTGTTTATAAAGATTTATCAAATGTTTTTGTGTTACTATCTAGAGAAATTTTTTATTGCCAAACTTTGGAATAATATAAATTTAAAAATTTTGTAATAAAAATTACATCAGCAGTTGATAATTATTAACAATTTTACCAAAGAAAACAAAAGATAATTATAAAATTGTAAAGTTTACATTAAAAATTATATATTATTACATTCAATCCGACCAGAAAACTTACTGTTAATGATTTTTTAATTTAATAATACATACCAGGACTTTCATAAAATACCACTGAAATTACACTACACAGCAGATGTTTTTTAATCAAATTATTTAAAATTAATTAGTCTCAAGATTATTTAAACGTTATCATTCAACACAGTTAAAAAAATTACAATAAACAAAATACAGCCAAGAAAATATTACAAAACAGAGGTTTCATGTTTTCAACATCCCAGTCAACAACTAACCTTACTTGACAATAATGATAAAAATATTTTAATATTTTTAAAATATTCTCAATATCAATGGCGTATTTGGGGGATCCTTAGTTATATATATTTTGATATCTACATTTTTTTGTGAGATTAACTATTTTTGTATTGCCTTCCTACAAGGATAGGTCTCAAATACGCTACTGTTCGATATAAAATAAATTCGACTCTTTGTGGTGTTTTCTCCTATTAAAACTTAAGCTTCTAATTTATGTCTGCGAAAAAAAAAAGTATCTTCTTGTTCACAGATCCGTATCGAGGACTTCTTTATCCGTATCAAATCTATTACGACGTTTAAATCCTAATAGTACTGGTCTACCTACGGCAACGAAGCGTCGACCTGAAATGGACGCAACCGGTTTCCATGGTGACTCTTTTACAGGAGGAATGGATCGATTTGACACAATGAAACGCGGATCCGAAATGGACACAACCGGTTTCCATGGTGACTCTTTTACAGGAGGAATGGATCGATTTGACACGATGAAACGTGGAATTGAAATGGACGCAACCGGTTTTCACGGTGACTCGTTTTCAGAAGGCATGGATCGGTTTGATACAATGAAACGTCGACCGGAAATGGACGCAACGGGGTTCCACAGCGATTCCTTCACTAATGGAATGGACCGATTTGATACGATGAAACGTCGATCTGAGATGGACGCTACAGGTTTTGAAGGCGATTCTTTTACTGCTTTTGGTCGATTCGAAACGATGAGGAAAAAGAAAGCAAACAGACCACCAACTTCAACTCAATACACAAAAAGTCATTCTTAAGAGACGTACATTATTTAGCGTTTTATCTACGTGAACCGTAGAAATAGATTCATACTATACTTATTTCATTGTTATTTTAATTAAAATTTAAAAGTTTTTGTTTTATTTTGCAGAAAATGAATTTACTTTTCTTTACTTATTTATGTTTCTTTGAATTAAAAAATATATTAAAAATACTTATTAGAAACTAAAAACATTGAATTCAAAAAAGCGCAAACAATGTTATACGGCTTTTTGAATTAAATTTTTTTTTATTTATAAAATTATATTTTAAATATATTATTTAATTTTAAATAATATCAGCCACATGTGATCAATTCTTTTTATACCTTATTATTACGAAGCAAGCATTATTCAGTAAGCTTTTTAATAGAAGTGCCAATTATTGACTTTCTTCAGAATAGTAGGCTTCAAAAACATATATTTTTTCCACAGCTTGAATACATGGTCGAGTAAAACATTTTTTATCAATCACCTCTTTAAAGCTCTGTATTTTCACCGATGCATCATAAAAAACGGTAGTACAGTATGGACGTGGCATAGTTGGAAAAAGTACAAATGATACCTGGCAGTGATTAAAATCATTATCGAAATTCAAGGGCTTGATACAAAACTTTTCAGTTAATAATTTGTTGTTAATTATGAATAAATGGTCTGTAAGGAATTTTTACCAAAGTCAAAAATATTATTTTATTTATCAAGTTACGCTGATTTCAAAAATGCAATTAGATTTTCTCGATCACTATTAATTTTTTATATTATTACTAATTAGTTAAAAATTATAAGATATAACTATACAAAATATAGTTCTCAATATTTAAATTATAGTTTCTATTTAAACATCAAGAGTGACATAGAAATTATTAGTATTTCTATTGAAATGATTTATTACGACATAAATACAAAAAATACAATAAGTAATTTTAACGAAATGTTGCGCTTTTTTCATAATTTTACTCTTAATAGTAATTATATAAGTTTCTGACCATAATCAATTTAAACAAATAATTTATTTAAGAATATTACATAAGCTTTAAGTTAAGATATATATAAAAGTGTCAGTATTTCCGGAACATTGTCAAAAGTTAAGTTTAAAAAGGTAATTTTTTGTAGAAAAGTTGCCATTTTGAATCCCTATTTATGGGCATGTGTAGGGTCAAATGTTCACAAAAAATATACTAAATAGTAGGTGAATATCTAAGGTAGTTATAAAAAAAAATTAACTTGACTTATTTATTTTTAAAAAAATTTAGAGTTTTAAGAATAAAATTCAAAAATTACCTATTTTCAAGATTATAATTTTTTGGGGCGATTTTTACCATTTACAAGAGATGAGGGAATTTCAATTTTTGAAGGTAATGTCTTCGACTAGATACAATTTGTGATCTTTTGACGTGTTATTGAAATTAATTGGTTCAGGAAGAGCTGATAATATGTGGTACAGACACAAAAAAACCATCATAGTCAAATTAATACCTTTTCAACTTCGCATCGAAGCTAATATAAATAGTAAAAAGAATTAACAATTATTCTTTGCAAAAAAAAAAGCACATTAAATAATGATTGCAAATAAATCAGTATATTGTGATCTGTTACGTGCATTAAAGAACGTAATAATCAACATAAGCATAATTGCGTTTAGTTTGTTAAAGGTTATCGAAAAATAATAGGAAGCGCATTAATACACCAATCAAATAAATTTAACAAATTTATCTTCAAAAATTCTTAAACAATTGAGAGGTATAATTAAAATCTTGGATCTACCTGTTAATTTTTCTTAAATTGGTTGGAATCCAGTTTTCAAGTACAGTAGAACTCCAATTATCTGAATTAATGGGGACCGGGACCCATTCACTGACTAATCAAAACAAACAATGACAGGTGACTGCAATGCGCCGGAACTGGAGTGGGAACTCTTACCACGTGTTGTGCCTACACTGACGCCGCGGACTTTGGACAAATTTTTTTCTGATTTTTTCTGAAAGTGATTCGGATAATCGGCGATTCGGATGGTCGGAGTTCGGATAATTGGAGTTCTACTATACACAATATAATAATATAAATTATTTAAATACATTATAATTCCAAATATGGATTAAAAATATTTTACACATATGCATAATTCTATCTAACAATTTTTTTGTTATATAATTACTTTGAATTTGCAAGATTGACATTGGTGAAAATGTGCAAAGACAAGTGTGAACATAATAGTATAAAATCAAAAGTAAGATAACAAAATTTTTTTAACAAATGTAAGGTCTGGAGAAAATATTATTTATCGTACCAAGTAAACTGAATTTTCCCTAAAACCTCTGTATAATGTAGGGAATCAGCTGGTAATAATAATTTTATTTTTCATAATTTAATAAAGCTTTTCCCGTATTTGCATTGAAAAAACTCCTTAGTAAAATCAACATGTTTTTTTACCAATATATATCTAATAATATATTTGTTGAATAAATACTGTTTTTTTATTAGCTAAACCATTTTTTTTGTTGATTCTAGAAAATATTTGTTAAATTAATCAATTTTTTATTATTCTAACAAAAATAATGGTTAAATTAACAAAAACTATGATTTATTTAATAATATTTATTAGACGTATTTTAATAATGCATTTGTTGGTTTTACTAAAGAATTTTTTTTAGTGTGCCTGGAAGAGAAAATATTTTGAAATTTTGGAACGACTAACAACTTTTATCCTACATCAAATTAAAGATCTTTAAGTGTACTACAACATCGAAAAAATAAACGGTAGCACAGTGAGGTTGCGGCATAGTGGAGACATTGCATAGTAGGGTCCAGTATAGATTTAATCTGACAGTGATTAAAATCACTATCATAAGAAACGCTTCGATGCAAATCTGTAGATAGTGTTTAATTTTAAAAAATTGATGGATAATTGCAAAAGCAACATCAACTTCTATTAAAATAAAATACAAAACCCATAATTATCATACAAAAATAGTATATTTTTCAATATGGTAGCCATTTGCGTATAGAAGATAGATCGTCGG